AAAAAAAAATCACCAGCATCTCCAGGCAGGGCTGGGAGATGAACCCTTGTCTGAATCTTTGAGAACCACTTCCAGTCAGTGTAGACCAGGGTTTCCCAAACATGGGTCTCCATCTGTTTCTGGACTACAGTCCCCATTATCCCTAGCTAGCAGGACCATTGGTCAGGGATGATGGGAACTGTAGTCCAAAAACAGCTGGAGACCCAAGTTTGGGAAACCCTAGCTGATCGCCGAAGAATTGATGCTTTTGAATTATGGTGTTGGAGGAGACTCTTGAGAGCCCCATGGACTGCAAGAAGATCAAACGCATCCATTCTTAAGGAAATCAGCCCTGAGTGCTCACCGGAAGGACAGATCGTGAAGCTGAGGCTCCAGTACTTTGGCCACCTCATGAGAAGAGAAGACTCCCTGGAGAAGACCCTGATGTTGGGAAAGATTGAGGGCACAAGGAGAAGGGGATGACAGAGGACGAGATGGCTGGACAGTGTTCTCGAAGCTATGAACATGAGTTTGACCAAACTGCGGGAGGCAGTGGAAGACAGGAGTGCCTGGCGTGCTCTGGTCCATGGGGTCACGAAGAGTCGGACACGACTAAATGACTAAACAACAAGTGTAAACAATGCTGAGCTAGAGGGACCAATAGTCTGAATAAAGTAGCTTCCTATGTAGCTCACAGGGTGGGTGGTGACCAGGGGCAAGAATTTTCATCTGTGACACACAGATTGTAGAATTCCCTCCAACAAACTGGCTTGGTGTCTGCTTTGCTATCTCTTAGGGACCAGACTTGTAACTATTATGTTCTTCATAAATACCGGTAGTTTTATTGCATAGCCTACTCTTTCCTTTCAAGAGAGCATGTGTTTTGCATTTGTTAAGTTTGCATTGACTTTTTGAATTCTCTCTCTTTTTTTTTTGAATTCTTTATTAATTTTATTTCCAGCGTACAGTATCCTAAAACCACAAACATACCAAAGAAGAAAAAAAGAAAAGAAACAACAAATACCAAAACATAGATACATTTCCTCAAAAGCATTAGTTCATATCATATCATTTCGTATCATCAATCTGACTTCCCTCCACCACGATTTGAGCTATATCACAATAATAACCTTCTTGCAGTTTCTTTTTACAACCGTTATCTTTACTTCGCAGGTTCTATGTTGTACCTACTGTTATTTTAATGTTTCCTAAATTTATTTCCATGTATAGTATAAATTTATTCCAATCATTAATAATTTTTTTATTGCTCTGATGCCTGATCTTCTGTGTCATTTTTGCTAACTCTATGTACTCAAGTAGCTTATTTTGCCATTCTCTAATAGTTGGGATATTAGGTGTTTTCCAATTTTGCGCTAGCAATATCCTGGCTGCTACCATTGCATATTGGAACATGGTTTGATCTTCTTTTCTAATCTCATCTCCAACCATTCCTAGAAGGAATGCCTCTGGTTTTTTAGGGAATGTGTATTTCAGGATCTTTTTTAATTCGTCATAGATAGAGCCCCAGAACCTCTTCACTTCTTCACACGTCCACCACATGTGATGGAAATCACCCTCCTTTTTTTTTACATTTCCAGCATGTTTTGTCCCCAATCTTATACACCTTTTCCAGTTTCACAAGGGTGATGTACCAACGGTACATCATTTTTTCCATATTCTCTCGGAGTCCAACACAAGCTGTAAATTTCATGTCCTTAGTCCAAAGTTTCACCCATCTATCATAGTCTAGGTTATATCCCAAATCTATGGCCCACTTTATCATAACCTTTTTCACCTCCTCATCTTTGGTGTCCCATTCTAATAGCTGATTATACATTTTGGATAAGAGTTTACTATTTCCTTCTAATATTTCCACCTGTTATTTAGATTTTTTCTCATTCATCCCTATTTTTTTGTGTTCATTCCATAGGGCATTAATTTGATGAAACTGTAGCCACCCCATTAACTTATCCTTTAATTCTTCATATGGTCTAATTCTCCATCCTTTATCCGATTTTATCAAGAGGTCTTCATAGGTCCATCTTTGACTTTCCATGTTAAGTTTTTTAATTATTAAAATATTAACTGGTGATAGCCACCAAGGGGTATCCTTTTCCAACAATCTCTTATTTCTATTCCATACTTCTAACAATGCTCCTCTGACAATATGGTTGGAGAATCCCTTATGCACCCTTTCTTTGTCCTGCCATAGATAAGCATGCCAGCCAAATCTAGCGTCAAATCCCTCCAGGTCCAACAGGTCCAAATTTTCCAGAACTATCCAGTCCTTGATCCAACACAAGCACGAGGCCTCATAGTATAGTTGTAAGTTCGGGACCGCAACCCCCCCCTCTTTCTCTTCTGTCTGTGAGCAGTTTAAATTTAATTCTTGCTCTTTTCCCCTGCCAGATGAATCTAGACAGGGTCCTCTGCCACTCCTTAAACATTGTCGTGCCTCTAATCACTGGAATATTCTGGAATAGAAATAATAATCTTGGGAGCATACTCATTTTAATAGCAGCCATTCTTCCCTCCCAGGAGAGTTTTAATCTGCTCTAGCTATCTAAATCTTTTTTAATCTCTCTCCAGGTTCTATTATAGTTATCTTCCACTAAATTTATATTTTTTGTAGATACCCAAATGCCCAGATATTTCACCTTTTTCACTACCTTAATCCCTGTTTGTTGCTCTAACTGATTTCTTAGATCTTCGGCCAAATTCTTTGTCAGCATCTTAGTTTTAACTTTGTTTAACTTAAACCCGGATAGCTTTCCGAACTCTTCCAACAGCTCCAAAACTTTATCCACGCCTTTTATTGGTTCTTCTAACGATATTACTAAATCATCGGCATATGCCTTTAATTTATATTCTTTAACTCCAATTCTGATTCCTTTCCCTTATTTTATTTGTAATAACTTCCAAAACCATAATAAACAGGAGAGGGGACAGAGGGCACCCCTGTCTTGTGCCCTTTGAAATCATAAAGGAATTTGTTAGGTTATTATTAATAATTAATTTAGCCCTTTTTGAATTCTCACTGCAGACTTCTCAGGGGTGTATGTTATTAAGAGTGGCACATAATGTTTATGTATCATAGTGCTTGCAAATGGATGCTTATCAAGAACTGATCCTGGTTTTGTGCATGGCAGCTGCAGACGTGACGAGCAGTTTTCTCATGCCTCTTTCTGCTACACCTGGAGCTGCTCGAAGGCTCTGCTTGTCCAGGGAGGCAGCCTTGATCTGCTGGCAGGGAACAGGTGGGCTGCATATGCAGACATTCCCTGCTTGTGGGAGTGGTTGGCAGGGAAAGCATCAGTGCTAAAAATAATTCCCAGCATGTTCTTTTGACTTACAGAGAGAGTTGTGGTTGAGTGCAGAGCACCAGTTAGGGTTTTCTGTGGGAGGGAGGAATGCTAGAAATGATGTTGGGCATGGACTTGTTATGTTGGTTAGAGAAGTGAGAATATGGTTACAGCCTACTTTGGTCAAAGCAATAGCTCATCTGCTCTCCATAGGTCAACCTTTCCCAACTTAATATCTCCAGAGTTTTGGATGACAACTCCCATCTTTCCTAACCAGTGGCCATGCCGGATGGGGCTGATGTGAGCCATAGTCCAGAATGTTTGGAAGGTACCAGGTTGGGGAAGGCAGTTTCTTTCTCCACCCCCCCTTCTAACTTTCTAATTTTGTGGTACAGTAGTACCTCGGGTTACATACGCTTTACTTTGAGGATGTGTTGGGATTTGCTATGAAATGACAGCTAGCGATCTGAACAGGTGAACGATGTAACTGTGCAAGAGACAGGCAGTTGTGCCATTAAATGGGGCAGGATATGGGGGCAGCCATCCAGGCAGGGCCCCATTCCTCAGAATGAGCAGGAGGGACCCTCAGTACGTGACTTTCTCACTTATTTCAAAATAAGTGAAATAACATACTATGCCATCCAAACAACTGGTAAGTCTGGGGTCTAAATTTAGTTTAAGATTACTTAACTGCACTACTTGAATAGGAATGCCTCCTCAAAGCTTAGTAGCACCTGAGGCAGATGTTCTGTGATTTTGCGCTCTTTAAAGCCCCCTTTACTGAGATGAAAGAAAAATTGAAATGCAATATTATGTATGAGTCTGCTGTCAGACCATGGCACACCCCTGCCCTTTCCTTGCACCCTCCTTTTGGAAGATCTGCAGCTGCTTTTGTGGTAGCAGAAAATCCTGCTCAACCATTTGTTAAATATAGCTGTGAAAGGGCAACCAGCACATGACGATCCTCTATCCTTTGTGTTCTTTGGAAATAAGTTACGAAGAAAGAACCATTGAGAGAGGAGAGGTTCTGCCATATCTGAAAGGTGTTGGAAATGCTGGTGAAGTATGAGAATCAAAGCTGGAAAAGGATCCCTCCAAAGAAGGAGTTGCAATTCAGCATCAATCTGGGGGGCCCTACTTTGGCTGCCAAGTACTTGGTGGTGGTTGTAGTTGATGAAATTAAGGTTGTTGTTCTTGTTTGCCTTTCTCTGAAGTAGACTGTTGAAATAAGGGAACACTCTCTGATTAATAAATTGACATCATAAAAAGTCCTTAACCTGGCACATAAGTGAAGGCTTTGTGTGGGGATAGTGTTCCATAAATGGAGCACCACCACTAAGAAGGCCCTCTCTCTGTTTGCCACTGCCATGGTGAAAGCATAGTGAAAGGTTGATCCTAGAGATTAGGCAGGTTCACAGGGGAGAAGGCTGTTCTTCTAAGCATCCTGATCTTTGCAGCAGGGTTGGTGAATCTGTGGGCCTTCAGTTGTTGTTGTACTACAAATCCCACAACCCCTGACCATTGACCATGCTGCTTGGGGCTGATGGGAGTTGAAGTCCAATAACATCTGGAGGACCACAGGTTCCCCACCCTATCTTGAGAGCTTGAAAGATCAACACCGGCACTTTTGATTAATTGTGCCTGGAAACAAACTGTTGCCTTTTATTTAATTTTGCTGTTGTGCAGCCTACTTACTGGTTCCATTTACTGTCTTTTCAGACAGAGGGAAGCAAGCTGCAGAAGGATCTCCGGACATACCTGGCTTCAGTAAAAGGTAACACCTGGAATTGGATTGATCTTTATTACGGCCATTGGCCCGTTACACGACAGTTTCCCATACCAACATATTATACTTAAACCTCCTGGAAAAAATGCTGTGATGTCATTCTCTCCACAGAAGACAATTCTAGAAATGCTCTCAGGGCTTGTGTGTGTTTTATTCTTGGTGTCAAGAGTGGCTGGCGTGGTGGGGCGATGCCACAGAGCTGTCCTCCCACAACAGTGGAGTTGCTGCTACTTACCTGGACAGTTCTGGGATGGGGCAAGGTGGAAGTGAGGTCAGGGCTGTATGGGTGCACCAGAGGGAGCACTGGATTAGGCTATGCTACTGTGCCCACATATTCCCAACCACACTATGGCATTGATCCCTCCCTACTCTGCTCAGGTAAGCAGCAGTGCTCTGCCCCACCACACTGGCCACTCCAGTATACCAGCCAAGAGGCACTGTCTGCATTAACTAGAGAAAACTACACATACAGATCTTAGCAGTTTCAGGAACTTTCAGTGGAGGACAGCAAATATCTGTCAGGGGCAGCTGCTACTTTGTTCTAATGTAGCATGGAAAGTACTCATCCCCTGGGTGCATGCCACAAAAACACAATGTTCAGACAAGACTCCAGTGGTGTTTATAAATGCTGGGATCACTTGCTATCAAGGGATTTGCCCTCTGTGGCATTTCATGTGATCAGTAACCGGTAAGTGGCGTCTTCTATAAGATGCACTTATTCCTTTGATGCAGGATGGAGTTTAGACAAACAATTGAAATGGGAAGCTTAACTTCTCAGTTGGTCCCTCTCTCCCCTTTCTCTTTCTAATATTTTTGTTTATATATAGGATCTCTCAATATGCTTTCTATGATTATAGAGAGGAGAGAAGGGAGAGAAAGAGAAATCCAGTCCATTTTAAAAATTGACCAAGTAAATACTTAAATGTAAATGCAAACCCTATCCCCCCTATCTATCTATGTTCAGATCTAAAAATTGGCCACTTCCAAAAGTATTGGTTTACATATTTTTGAAACAAAAATTTATACTTCTCTCTTGGATGCCTGCACTAGAGGAATATATGTTATATATCTAATGGCTCTTGGTGTGTGTGTGTGTGTCCTCTGTGTTATATGCCCTGCTTTGCTTGCCTTGGAAACAATTCTCTTAAAGAATTGCCATGGGTTTGGGATAAGGCCTTGGTCAATAAGGAAGATTCATTTCCCCTCTTCGTTTTTTGGGTTGGGTACTTGATGGGATGCTACTGTGTCATTCAAAATTTGGAGTCTCTTTTTTTCTATCTCCAAGCAATGCACGAAGCCTCCAAGAAACTGACAGAGTGTTTGCAAGAAGTGTATGAGCCAGACTGGCCAGGAAGAGATGATACTAACAAAATATCAGAGGTGAGGTTCTGCTCCGTTAGCATCACTTATGTATTATGATCTGCATTCCCTCATTCATTCATAGGGACTATAGCTGTTGAACTGATTTTGGGGTTATAGCACAGTGACCTGGTTTGGACAACACCACTGCATCTATCAGTGCATGTATCCCAGCCAATGCAGCAAAATGCGATACCTGTGGATAGCTCAGTCAGTAGACTAAGTGACAATCTCAGGGTTGTGGGTTTGAGCCCCACATTAGACAAACGATTCCTGCATTGTAAGGGGTTGGATTGGATGACCCTCGTGGTCCCTTCCAACTCTACAATTCTATGATTCTATGAATAAATCTGCTGAAGCCTCTGGCATGCACACTGGCCCTTACCCCTTCTCCAGTGTGGTCCCAAGCAACTTGTTGGAGGCATCCTGTGTACAGGAGCGGTTGGTGAGGAGGCACTCCTGCCATTGTGCCTACACAGTACCACCCTCTTCACCACATCTCCCTCCCGATAAGCAGCAGGAACTCTGCTGCTGGGAGGCTAGGTGTGCAGTAGCAGCCCTCGCCCCTGACTGCTCCTGATCTTGCTTGTCCATGATTTATCATTAAGACTGAAAATGTTTTAGTAAACTACAGTGGAACCAAGGTGCGGCTTCTGACTGGCTGCAGGATTTTCCTGCACTCAAGCGGAAGCTGCATTGGACGTTTGGCTTCTGAAAACCATTTGAAAACTGGAATACTTCTGGGTTTTTGGCATCCAGGAGCCGATTTGTTTGCCAACTAAGCCATTTGAGAACCAAGGTTCCACTGTATAGTAAAACTGACCACAACTTTTCCCTTTCAGCTATAACCAAAAACTGTTGTTAGGTTTAAGTAGGAAGTGGGTGCTTCCTCCTTGTGGCCTCACCAGAGGAAGTAGGGGGAGAGTGGAGTGGGAGGAACATATGAGCCCATGGCTTAAGCAGGCTTCTTCATATAATGTCATGTCATTGGAACCAGGCCAATGGGTTCTGTGCCACACTACACCAGCCATGTGATCTTAAATATTCTGCATTGTAACAACAAAAGCATAATGTTTCACCTTAAGTGATGCCGCTGTTGGTGTGCATTGCCTCCCATCTCCACTGACTGTTTCTGGCCCCCACCTGCAGCATGGCAGACAGAAATTCTGCAGACCCAGCTTTCCTTTGCTGCATGGGAGATGTGGTGACAATGAATTCCTTACCTGTTGAATTTCAGGAGGTCTGTGTAGCATTTGAAGTTACAGGAGCTTTGTAAAAGCGAAGAAAAAGAAGAAGAGGTTAGGCATAGTTTCCAGTGTTGTTGTGTTTTTTTACATGCACACCTCCTTAGAAAGTAGATATAAACATAACAAACATATATGAGACATGTATCTTACAGGAACTCCTATCAGTGTATTGAGATCAATGGCAGCTTGTTGCTAAGTCTGGGTTTGCCCTCCAGACAAATGTGTGAAATGATCCACAAAGAAGCATAGTGTTGCCATGTTTTGCACTGTTGCTGCTGATAGATTACATGTTTCCTTATATTCTTCTAGAACAGTGACCTGCTGTGGACAGACTTTCATCAGAAGCTGGTGGATCAGGCACTGCTAACTATGGACACCTACCTCGGCCAGTTCCCAGACATAAAAGTATGCAGTTTCTTTTTTACTTTCTGTTTTTACAGTTTCCTTTACTTTCTTTTGTGCTCCTTTTTTAAAAAATTGAGTTTGTGTGAACTATGCATCAAGGAAGAGTTTTGTAAGGAACTCTGTGGGATCTTATCTCGTCTACTTTGGGCAATGGTGGAAATAATGACTAGCAGATTTTATCAATTTTTTGAGTCATTCAGAGTGATGCAGAGGTTTCACCCTCAAAACTTAGTGATAAAGTAGACCACTGTGCAAGACTTGAAGATAATTTTTACTTGCCAGGATGACAATAATTGAAATCGAGTTCAAATACAATTTGTTTCTCTCCCTTGAGCCCTAGAGAGGACTTGGACTTCTTGCTCTAAAAACACAGTCTTTCATAGCAATGAATAAATCATTAGTTCAGAGCTTGCCTGTCTTCATAAACACATGAAAACACATACAATACGATTTTAAAACACGCAACCAATAATTAACACACTGCTAGCCTTGATGTGACTAAAAACATAAAAATCACACTAATCTGGGAGCAGTGTTTCTGCTAGATGTTTGAAGGTAAAAGCCCTCCAGAACAATTCTAGTTTTTCATGAAACTAGTGCTGTGCTGAAATGTGTCCTCCAAATTCTGAAAATATTTCCTTCCCTGAGAAGCAGATTTCCTTTTTTTTCTGGTTCATTCTCAAGGCAGAATTCCCTTAGAATGTTCAGTGTGGGTGGAGTTTTGATCTTATTGTTGTTTGGGGGCTGAGGGTGTCTGTGCAGTTTCTTGCCAGTAAACATTTCTCTAGCACTCTGCAGCCTCCCCTGGCTGCCTGCCCTACTTGATCTGATAAAGCCCCCCATGGGAGGAGTGTTCTTGTGATGTCTTCCTCTGGACATGGGCACCTGGGAAGAATGCAGCGTGCAACCACTGGTGAGATGATTTGTAGAATGAAAGAAAGAGCACTGACAAACACTGATTGGCCACCTCAAAAGGGAAGATAAGCACCACAAAAGCCTTGCACCCCCACCCATGAGCACTTCACTAAAGTTTTCTCTGTCCTTTTTTATAAATTTCAAATTCATTTTCTTTCCTCATTATTTGACAGAGGATGATTAAAAAAGACACACTGGAGAAATCACCGGCACAGCACCAGAGATAGAATTAGGGAGGAGGGGGCTAGATGAATCTCATTTGCAATAAGAGGTTTGCCAACATTGTAGAATGTGTGTTGCATCAGGAAGCACTATTCAGTATGATGAAAAAGATTCCTTGCTCAATTTCCTGGCAGATGTTAACTTCTGTGTTACACTCCCCCTCCCCATGTAACATGCACAAATACTTTCTTTTATAGTTTCCTCTTTCAGATACATAATTTTCTCCCCCTGTATCCAACTCTGATCCATTTATCTGATGCCTTAAGCATATATAAGATTAGCATGGGAACAAGATCTGTTCAGGTTTTTTTGGTCTCATTTAATTTCTACATAATCATCATCATCATCATCATGATGCGTGTATAATGAAGTGGTACCTTTTCTTTAATTTGCCTAAAGCTCTTTTAAAAAAATGAAAAGACCTAAAAGCCAACATGGGACTGTGCATATTTTGTGCAAAAATGCACATTCTGCACATCACTTGCTGTGCATCACAAGAGCTGAAGCTGTGCGTGTAGAATATATTATGTAAACAAAGGCTATGTAAATCTTAATTTAATTTATGCAGTTCTGCAATATATATAGATGTGAATTAAAGAAAGTTCATTTGAAAAATTGAAAATAAATAAATAATGCATTTGTGGATGAATTATCCTCTTTTGTAAGTGTATGAAGGTATATCTAGTTTCAGCAGAAGGGTCCTGCTCCTTATTCTTTCTCTCCTTCCTTCAATACCCCCTCTCCCCCGAAGGAAACATCATAACAAGGAATCCATTATTGCTGGCTATGTACTTTTCAGGGATGGCTTGCATCTGGCAAAGTTATTTGGGGGAGAAAAAGTTTTTTTTTTATTTTTAAAAAAAGGCATACATTTGCTAGGGATAATTCCTGTCCTCTCCTGAGAACTTTCCCAAATGCTGGATTCTATCCTGTGACTGCTCCTCTCCCAATTCCTGAATGGCTTTGAGAAGGTTGAAAAAAGGAGATGCATTTGCCATATGGCAGTACTTGTAACTACGTTCCCACATGGAAAAGGTCAGCTTGGCTTTCTCCCAGTGAAATCAGATATCCCGTTTAACCCCCTTAGCTGAATCCCAAAAGGGAGACAAAAGCAATCTGCCCTCCCTTTCTCCTTCAGTTAATCCATTCTGCAAAAGATACTGTGTTTATATGTTTTCTCCTCCATTTAGTATCAGGCAGCTACATGGATAACCTGTGGCTGTAGTTTTTCTTTAGTTGGTGCCATACGTAAGTTTCTGCCGACCTGGTTGGCCACTTGCTGGAAACTCTTCAGCAGGAACAGCTTAGAGCTCAGGAGAGCCTCCTTTTCATAACTCTGTCAACAGTCAGTGGCTGTCAGACTATATATATAGAAACTGAGGGCTCCTCCCTCCTCAGTTTAGAGTTAACAGTCTAGTTAATTTGCACCCAGAAGACCCCTTCTGTCCTGGGATATGGGAAAGTGTGTGCATGAATGTATCACCCTTGGGTGGTTGCCGGGTATCAAAACGTCTATATTTCAATTAAGGAAATGCAGAAGCTACATTAATTCCTTGGTGTTCCAAAGGATCTTGAAGAATGATTAAGGAGATTTCATTGAGCTCCTCTAAATAGTGGGAAGGACTTCCACTGTTGTTGTTGTTTACTTAGAAGTAATAAGTTCCACTGAATTCAGCATGGTGTTCCAAAGTTCAGTGTGCATAGGATTGTAGCTTTGCAGCAGCACAGCGTAATTCTGTACACACTCCCTGAGACTAAGCCCAATTGCACACAATGGGACTTAGTTTTGAGAAAACGTCATATTGCACTGTTAGGGGCTTCCTCATTTCATGGAGTTTCATCTCTCTCCCCCTCCCTCTCTCTCCACCCTCATCTTATTTATCACATTTGCTCAGGAGGGTGTACATGGGGTTATCCCATTTTTAATCCTCATAGCAACCCTCTGAGATAGGTCAGGTTGAGACTTTGCCCAAGTTCATCTAATATGGGTCCTGAACCCAGGTCTCTATTGTCCAAGTACAATAGTTTCTCCACTCCATCCCACTCGCTTTTCTTACCATTAGTTGAGAATGTTTCAGACAGTAGAGGTGAAATACCAGCTGTTTTACATGCATCTTTTCCATAACCACTGAAATATTAGTAGGCGAATCTTTCTGGTGGCTTTAAAGGCCTTTTTAATTTAAAGTGGCTTCCTTGTTAGGAGCATCTGGAATCTGTTCTGGTGTTTTTAATTCTGCTGAGTTCTTGAAAGATGCCCAGTGGCTGCATTCAGTGCTGTACTGGGAATTTAATTAAACCAGAGATGGATGAAGCATGAATGAACTGCAGCTGGTCTGGCAAGCCCAGGAAAGGGGTGAGAGAGTGCACAATGGACAGACTGAGAAATAAATGCAACAAAAGCCACGTGTTCTTAAAAGAGGACACTGCATAATTCCTTGAAGTGTTTACATGGTTTGTTGTTAGACTTGGCAAACATAACACTTCATGCCAGTTGTTCCTGAATTGTCACCTACTTTTTGAAGAAGTGTAGCAGTTATTTAAGAGGGCGGCCTCTGACTGTGGAATGTGATGTCCAATCTACCTTCAGTGGGTTTTGCCACATTTATTTTATTTATTTCATTTCATAATAGAAATAGATATAAAAAACAAAGTTCAAGTCCAGTACAGATAGAGTCTGGGATAAGAATCTCCATGTCAAAAGGCTTGTAGAAAACAGAGGGTCTTCAATAGATGCTGAAAAGGCAGTAGAGACAGTGGCTGTCTGATACAATCATTTGATTTGATGTTTTCAGCACCCGTTAAAGAATTACCTCTTCATCATGTCCGTCTGGAGGAAGTTAATCTGGATGAGATTAACTATGAATTGACGTCTGCTTGCTCTATTGTACTATGGACGATATTTTAATGTTGGTTTTAAATTGTTTATTAGAGTTTGGAACCACCTTGTGATCATAAGTGGTGTACAGTTGTACCTTGGATCCTGAACGCCCTGGATCTCGGACATTTTGGTTCCTGAATGCTGCAAACCTGGAAGTGATTGTTCTGGTTTGTGAACATTCTTTTGAAACCCGAACATCCGATGGGGCTTCTGAGGCTTCTGATTGGTGGCAGTAGCTTCCTGCAGCCAATCAGAAGCCATGATTTGCTTTTTGAACGTTTTGGAAGTAGAACAGACTTCTGGAATGGATTCCATTCAATTTCCAAGGTATGACTGTAATAGGAAACTGAATGTATGAACATGGACCACTTTTGCTGTGGGAAGATGATTATAGCTTATATAATGTGATTAACTGCTAATGGGGATGTAATATTGTTGTTTTATTGTGTTTAGTGTTTTGATGTTTTTGTAATTGATATTTTAAATACCGTATTTTTTGCTCTGTAAGACTCACTTTTTCCCTCCTAAAAAGTAAGGGGAAATGTGTGTGCGTCTTATGGAGCGAATGCAGGCTGCACAGTTATCCCAGAAGCCAGAACAGCAAGAGGGAT